TAGATTAGGGACTGACAGAAGAGGAATTAAAACTGAGAGTGTTACGGTCTGTAGCAATCAATGATTGTCCGGCTTTATAAACTTATCCAAGATATGTTTGGTTTGTGTGTATGGGGAGAACTTACATGAACACTTTCACACTGATCCCGAGAGATCCTGCTCAACTGTTACATGACTTGGGTTACTGATGCTACAAGAAATTTTCATATGCTTACTGAGGCAGACAAGGTTCTTTGGGTAGATGTGATACCTTTTATTAGGTCAACTAAATAGTTGGAAAAATTGTTCTTTGCAAGCTTTCAGGCACAAACACCTTTTGTGTTTGTGCCCAAAAGCTTGCAAAGAACAAATTTCATGTTTGCAAAGAACAAATTTTGCAAAGCAAGTTGCAAAGAACAATTTTTCCAACTATTTAGTTGGTCTAATACAAGATATCAAATCTACCCAAAGAATCTTGGTCTGTCTATATCCTTAGACCAACATGGCTGCAACCAACAAGCCTATATGCTTATTGGTGAACATATGTAAAAGTGCTTCCAGAATCCCGGTAAGCAAAAATATCTGCTACACACACACACACACAAAAACATTTTTGAATGCATCTAAGCATTCTTAAACAAGATTTCAAAAATTTGCTGGATAGTAGCCCAGGGGCATCCAACATATAGCCTGTAGGCTGCATACAACCTTGTTGGGGGAAAGGGAGCCTTCTTGCAGCTGCAGCCAAGTGTCTGGGTGAGATTGATGGTGCTGGAACTCCAGCAGCACCATGGGAAGAAGCCTGGCATTGTGGCTTGTTCTCATGGCTGTAGCCAAGGACCCAAGATGGACTTCTTGTGAAGGTCCAGCACCACTGCTCTCACCTGGGCATTTGGCTGCCGCCACTGGATGTCAGGATTCTTCCCAAAGTGCTGCTGGGGCTCTAATGCTGCAAGCTCTCGCACAGAGGCTTAACTCCAGCCATGAGAAGGCATTGCAGGGTTATTGTAACTCCAGTGCTGCAGATCTTGTCAGCTTGGCTACCAAGCACCCGGGCAATAGCAGTGGCACTGGAGCCCTAACAGCACCACCCAATCCAGTCCACAGAGCTGGCCTCACACCATTCATATGGCCCAGAGACCAGTCCCCGCACCACTCATCCAACCTGAAAGGTCAGACTCTAGCCAAGGCTGCAGTTTATGCCAACTTTGAAATGTCCTGTTCCCACTTCTTAAAGTGTAATTTAAATTGCCCAAATGCAGAAACACACATGAAACCATTTCTAAATTGCAGCCATCATATTTTTCAAATATTTCAAAAAAATGACTAAAATGATTTTTAAGTTTCAAAACTTGAAATTCATTTTTGTACTCAGAAAAAAATTCAACATTTCAAGCTAATTGGGTGCCCAACAATCAGCTAATAGACTGCAGCCAGGGAGCAACCTCAGTCAATTGTCAAAACCCTGCACCTAGTAACTCTGGCTGGGTTGCTGGGCACAGAGGATTATGGGGCTCTGGGCAGGGAGAGCTGAAGGTCCTCCCCTTGATGGGGACATTAAACCTCAACCCTGCAGGGTTTTTGCATTGTGGCACAAACCCCAAGGTCAGGCTGCTGCTCTCCAATCTCAGGGTCTCTACGTACTGTGTTAAGTAAAAACTGTGTACAGCCCAGCTGGGGAGCCTGTCCCCAGTCCTGGGGTCCCAGCCTGCTGGGACCTTTAAAAAAACTACATGCAGCTGAGCTGTACACAAGGCTTTCTGAAACCCCTGGTGCACACTGGCCTTGGGACTAGGCAGAGGTTACTTGATCCTGGGATCCCCAGGCACTAGGGATGTCAGAAAACCAAAGTCTGGGGTGCAGCGAACCTGGATCCTGTGTATTCATCACAAAGGTTTGGCAGATTTCCTATACAATTTATATACAATAGCAAGGTACAGTATTACTAACATTTCTATTACTTTTACAAAAGGTGTGTTGTCATACATCAAACTGCAAAGACTGAACAAGCAAATGAACTGAAAACGCTTTTTAACTCCGTTTGCTTGCTAATCTGCAATTCAGTAATTCATGATGTATCTTCTAAACATAATTGGCATGTTTCCTCTATAAAAGCACGACTGCTGCTACGCCATGACACTTTATCAACTATGGGACTGTTTTGCAGTAAGTTATGGAACAGTCTCCTCTCTCACCATGTTGACAGAGAAAAATATTCATGTGACATGTGAAGACAGACATATTCCAACCCACACTTGAGCAGCTGTAATGCACGGTGTTCAAAACAAATGTACAGTTCTATTCTCACTGTTCAAAACTTTAAAGTTCCAAAGTGAACAGCTACCCGATTGAAAAACAGTTTATTTAAATAAACATTGTAGGGTAAAAAGTGTCAGAAACACTTAAAAGCACAAGTGCCATAGGTTATTTAGTACAACCTTTCTCAACCCATGTGTTGTGATCCAAAACTATCTTGCAAGAATATATGAAAGGGTTGCAAACAAACTCTAAAAATGAATTCTCCTTTAAAGGAGAAAACCATGGAAAGTCGAGGCTTTTCCCTTGCAGGCTGGCAGAGTTCTAGCCAGCGAGGGGCTGCTTGGGATGCCCCCATGTCCCCCTGCTCCACACACCTACCCTCTGCCCCCTATACTGGGGGGCTGGGACTTGGTGGCAGGAGGCAGCAGGTCAGGAGTGCAGGGCACTGGGTCAGAACTGGCCATTCATGTTTACAAATGTGTCCTGGTACAAAAAAGGTGGAAAACCACTGATTTAGAAGAGACCACCAGGAGCATGACATACAGGATCATCTACAGCTAAAATATGGAAAACATTTTTGACAAATGAAACATCATGTACAATAACTTTCCTTTCCCCTCTTCTGCAATTATCTTGCAGTCTGGCAAATGAATTATGCTGAAATGATTTTAACAGGTACATGCTACACCATCAAGTTTAACATTTGTTTTTTTTTATGAGCTGTTGGACTGCTTTTCAGCTTGTTTGTGTTCAGAAAACCTAAGCCAAGGACTGATTTATATATCCAGAGAACATGTTTTAACACAAACAAGTTAGAAAACAAATCTGGCTGCCTATAAAGGCTGCTGAGCAAAGTATCCTCCTTGAAGTGTTAACGTGATTCTTTCATCTGCCTACATACTGCTGTTGAACCAACAGCTTGACTTACAGAAGCAGGAAAAAGAATGTGCTGTGTCTGGCATAATGGAAAAACAGCATTGTGCCAATACAGATTAACTGTTTTAAAGATTGCTTTCATTTAAAAAGTCAAAATCTGTTCATTTATACATATTCTATTTTGTTTTTCTCAAACAAAAATAAATATTCAAAGGGGCCTAGTGTTGTAGCAAAACCCCCAGTTTTTCTTTTTTTTTTTTTTCTTTTAAAATGCATTTCCTCCCCTTCCCCAAACCATTTCTGACTTTTTCTTTCCCTCTCTATTCCCTGTAGATAAGTATATGTGAGCTAAGACGTAGGATAAGCTTCAGCATTCTATTTTGGTAGCAACTTGTATTTGTTTTGTTTTTTTCTCCTTCTTTATATTGTATAATTATTATGTTTATATTGATTTTTTCTGTTCTATATTACTGTTTTACTGGTACTATATGATTTAGGCCTACATATGTAAGTTACCATAAGTCATGTCAAGTTTCCATTTTGTTTATCAAGTCTCCATCCTGTTCCCAGGCCCAGTAGTGTAACCCATGACTCACACCTACTCCACCTATGTAACTTGGTTCCTGAATGAATGGGAATGAATGAGGGTGCTTGAGAGACAATGGCAGTAGGTCTAAAAAATAGCTCCCTCTGAATGACCGAACCATCAACACCAATACCTGGACCAATGACCCAGCCCTTGGAACCACCCTCAGCATTCAAGGAACAAAAGATGAGGCAACCCACCATTGTGCCAGGCTGCACATGCTCAGTAAGAACACCTGGAGCCCTCTGGAACAGGACTGACCTTGCCTGGACAGGTATGGACAATTGATTTTTTTTGTCTAACTTTTGGGGTGTATAGTATATGTGCTTGAATTGGTGATAGGTATGCATGTGCCTAGGCTAGTTTAGATGTGTATGTTCCTGAGTTGGGGAGGGGGGGGGGGGGGGGTGTGTATATGCGTGTGTATGTGCAATTGATTCGTGTGTTTGTATATGTGCAATTGTGTCACACCCTCCTGTCTAACAGCGCAATATTGAGATCCTGAGAGTTGGCCTGACCTCACAGGGCAACAGTGTTACCTGAAACATTAGTCACAACTGAAGGAAAAAAGTCAGTGAAAGCTATTTTAGAGACAGCATTTTAAAGCAGTTGTCATCTTCCATTCCCTCTCTGTAAGGCTGTAGAGATAACTTTAACATGCCTTAGACATATACTGAAGATGTGATGGACAATAAGAAAGGTGACCAGTTACTTGGATATGGTCCAATTTTAAAAAATGCATAAGGATACAATCTGGCTCAGTAAATGGTCTATTAAGTTTAGCTTTATATTTGCACATAATGTAAGTATTTGCATACACCCCAAGTTCAGTATGAAGTCTGGTTAACAATTGTTAACAAGCATATTTACAATTTTTCAAAATGGGGCCAGTAGCTAATATGGCATTTGACATTATTATAGCTTTTTAAAGCCCTTTTTAGAGTCCTTTAAGCATAAAATTAAATTTAAAAAACAAACTATTCTGCTGAAAACATAACAGAAAACAAAGTACAACTACAATGAAGTCATGTAAAAAGCGTATTTTCAATTTCCACAACAGACAACAGTAAATAGGCGACTAAACAGCCAGAATTCTGGATAGATCTTGAGCATGAAAAATAGATACAAGAAAGCACTTTTAAAAAAACCATTATTATTATACACTGTATTTCAAGTTGAAAAGCACTCTATTTTATATGAATGCCCAGAAAATTAAACTGGTCATCAAGACCACCCTGACTTCAAGCAAGCCGTTTAGATTTAAGTATTTATCCATTTAACCAACAGTTTATTTAATTACCTGCATTTGTGTTTGATCCTTGTAGAAGTACAGTCAAGGTTTCCATAACCAATAAGGCTAGCTGCTTTTGGTCCTCCAAAGAACTGTTTCTTGAATCCCCTAGAAATAAATTTCAGAAGTTCACTGCACTGATTTATATACAATATATAAGTGTGTGTAATATAAGCTTGTTGGAGAAAGTTTTCTATGTAGAATCCAGAAAAGGGGGTAGGTGAGAAAGATAAATTTCCCTTTATAAAAACAATGTGTATGTATGTTAGTGTATGTGTACATACAATACACTTTATTTGCTCAAATATAAGATAATCCCGAATAAGACAATGCCCTAATAATTTAGATTCTATATATGAAAAACGTATAATTATTTTTTTCCAGCTATAGATTCTAATTATTGGAGAATGGCCTTGAATTTGTCCCCTTCCCACTTTTACAGAAGGGGAAAACAAGTCTGGAGGGTCAAGTAGCCCCTTGCCCTCTGCCCCCTCAACTTCTTCCCTTAGCAGTCCACTCTCCTTCTCCCCACTTTAATATCAGACCCTGTTCTCCCTGAGCACATGGAAATGACGAGCAAATTTGAAAACACTAACCTTGAAATAAACATACCTGCAGTGATTTGTATATTACCATAGGCTTAATTCAACCACAGTTGGATACATTTGACTTTTTTTTTTAAACTGCTGCAAGTTCTAGCACAGGTACACCATAAACACACTTTTAAGCAGTACTTTTATACCTACATTACATACCTTTTTATATATAGTACAAACTATGCATGATATTAATCCAAAGCCAAAAGGCTCATGATTTCCAGGTTTCCCTCGCTTTATGATGTATATGCGTTCCTGGAAAACGACGTATCACTTGAATTCACGTAAAGGGAACCCACTTTACAATGTAACAAATAGGGATACATTCCAAGGCCTCAACTGTACTGACCCTCAGACCCATTTCTACCACTTTTACAAGACAATTTTGTGGTACTCACCAACTGCAAACAGTACACACAAGCACAGGGCACTATCGTAATGGGGATGGCAACTATCAAAACACGTGTCGCAGACAACGAGTGAGGAGCACAGATCCACATAGGAGACTATATTCTGGTGTGCATCACTCCCACAATGCACCACACAAAGCAGCTGACTGCAGGTTTCCACCACACCGATTGCATAAGAGTGAATTTACCTTGCAAATAACGAATTCTTGGTATAAAAAGAGTCATTGCATAAGAGTGAATTCACACAAAGAACCCACATAAAGCAAGGGAAACCTGTACTGTAGAGTTTATTGGGCTTTGTCTCACCAGAATTGACAGCATTTCAAGCATGATGACCCTACAACTCAGCATGTGTTTGTCCTCCAGACAGCCCCACAAAGGATCCATATGCTAATCAGCCTCCCACTCATGACCAGAACCGTGTGTCCTTGTCACAAGACCAGGGATACTCCAAAAATGTATATGCAAATGAGGTACAGAGCAACTAGTCCAGCTTCACCTCATGGAGGGCAGGGTCACGTTAATCATATACATCAGGCAGGGCGGGGTGACAGAGGAATTCTGAATGAACTGTTTGGGGCCCTGTTTCATGATGTTCGCAAGACATTTGAGGCTGTGGAAGAAACAACCATCACTGGAAATGAGAAAGAAATGCACAGCTCAGCTGTGGGAATGAAAAGGAAGTCAAAACATAGTCAGTGTAGTGTCTCACCATGACTTTGAAAGGAGTCAGCACTGATGGGGACTGCACTAAATGGGTACAACCACATATCTTATATAGATAGGCAGTACTAACCTATCCTTGTGGTATGTTCCCATCAGCATCTTTGCCTTTTTGGTGCCACTTCCCTGTGGAGAGAACACTCGCCCACTTTTATAAGGGATGCACACATACACACATGCACGCACGCAAGGTTCCCATCAGTATGCTTGCCCAATATGGGCTACGTGTTTTATAGTCCTGCTCAGTGTTAGCTGCATTTAGATCAGCTTCACAGTTGGTGTCCGTTACTGAGCACATGCTGCTTTTGGCAGCAGCTGAATGATAGCCAATGTCTTGTATATGTATACAAGGAAATCTCATTAAAATACAAAGGCTTTTTTTCCTCCATGCTGATGGGGGAGGGGAAGAACCTCATCTTGTATTTGAGTAAATACAGTAATATATACGAAAAGGGGGGAAGAGAGAGAGAGAGAGAGATGAAATTTATTCTTCTCACCTACTCCCTCTTAGATTTCCAAAAAAAAAATTTTCTCCAACACACTTTTAACCACACTGTGGCTTGTTTATATAAAGGATGCCCAGGAGAGTTAAGTTAATTTTAACAAATGGACAGGCAGCAATCCTTCAAAAGCTAAAAGCAAGCAATGTCTACTTTACTTGTAAATGAGATCCACACAGGAGAACAAAAATATGTGTAACACTTTAAATTTGCAGTGGGGATACAAACTGTCAGCCCTTTCCAAAACAACAAAAAAGTATCATCACTATGTTAAACTACTATGTTCCTGTTCTACCAAAGGAAAGAGAAAACTATGGGCTGGGGGGAGGAAAATGGCCTCAAACATTTTTTAGTTTTATATTCATTTTACTGTCTGACCAGACTTGCAAAAGCATGTTGGTTCTTTAGGCTCCATCCCACCAAGCTGTTCCTATAGACCAGTAACTATGCCTATGCATACTGCTCTGACTAATGAAAGGGTGGGTTTTCCTTATGAGAAACAGTTTAAAGCGCCATTCTTACAAAGTGTAAAGTTGCTGATTTATTTATTGCTTGGTAGCACAGATCATATGCAAATGGTAGGGCAAAGACTCTGTAGTAGTGAAGTAACAGCATGAAGCACCCTGTATCAAGGACTCACTTTCCGCTGGCAAGAAGAGGTAAATCTTGCATACCATAAATATAAAAATATAACTGCTTTGTCATTCGCCACACTGCCTGTGAGGCCAGTGTAGAGGAAAAAAATCACAAAAGGGACTGGAGTTTTGGGGCCTTATTCTAAAAGCTAACACCCAACAGAGTATCAAAAAACTGGCTGGCATATCTATTATAGCTAGTCATTGTCCCTTAAAAAACCCCTCAAGGACATTAAAAACATGAAACACTTTTTATGTGCGTCCTAGCTGATGGCATTAGCCCCTCATTTGTATGACAGCTGAGCCAGACTATACTTTAAAAGGCTTTTTTTCTTTTAAGAACTCTATATCTAATGAAAAACCTACTGCACACTACAGTGAAACAGAAACAATAGTTTTTAAACACATTATGGGCATTTTGCACTTATTCAACCTACACGTTACTTCTAAGTGTGAAAAGAAAAAAAAATCCAAAAAAGAAAGCTACCATGAAATGTATTTATTAAAAATGAATGTACATTACCAAATATTTTAAAATACCATTGTCATCTGTATCAAAAAGTCAAGCTTTTCTCTTTCCTCAAACCAGCCCATCGAAGAATTTATTACAAAACCGAGTACAAAGTTAGACATTAATTTTAAAAGTGAATTACAAAAAAAAAAAAAAACCAAACAAACAGTTTAAGATGTAAGTGATGAGCATCTGACAACATGAAGTAGACTATGAAGCTATATCCATTACTACTTAACCCCCAAACCAATTTCTTGCAGCAATATCACCAAAGCATAGGATCCCATAATTTCAAAGGAACAAGGTTTTCTCCTTTTCAATATTTGGATAGAGCACATCCAAGAAATAATCAGACATGCATTAAACAGTGCTGACAATTCAACAAGCATCAGAATTGCACACACAAGCGGTGTGTGTCTTTTAAAAAAATAATAAGCGAAGAATTTTACGGACTTCAAGACAATATTCTTAAAAGAAAACCTAATAGTTTGTAGTTATTAAAAATCCCACAGCACTTTCAGAAGACTGTCTACTGCTCCTGACCAGATATTGATTTGGTCCATCTGTTGGCAGCCACCCGTGTTTTCTAGCTGGAGTTGCAGGCAATGGAAATAAGTACCTCTAGTATTCTGCTACCAACTGTATTTAAACACCCCTTCAAAACATGCTGGAAGACAATTTATTAAATATATTTCACTATGGAATATTTTTTCTAGGCATTTATAATGGCTCTGACCAGTTTGATGTATTTTATTAAGATATTGTATGCCCATTTGCCACAGATAACAGATGCAGTAAATGTGTTACAGGATGAATAAATAAACGGAACATGCAATTGTAGCTAAAATATATATTCTTCAGTTCACACCTTAAGTAGTTATATGGTATAACTGTGGAATGTTACACACATCTTGGTGGGAGTCATTTTTGTACGTGCTTATCAAAACGGAGGCCCTGAACATCTGAAGCTTTCTGCAAGCATTGTCTCTTACTTCTTCAGGGTCTGACTCTATGCAAAAGTGAAACTCCACCATTCCAAGGTACTTAATTAGATGAGACTCCACATAGCAAACAAGTGGGTTATCATGCAAGACAGGACATAATTATACCACGGATACTCCCCATCTTCCCACTTTGGCTCTCTATTAAGTAAGCTTTATAATGCAATATCATAAAGCCTTTTTAAACAATGGAAAATCTAAATTACCACATAGATTTTATTAAATATTTTGTACTTGTCTAGCACTTTTCCCAGAGAAACTCTCAACACTAATGGTGGTTACATATTTTCCTAGCTTTACATGAAAAAAAAAGAGGCACAGACAATTTAACTGAGCTTTCTCGGGTTACACAGGACGTCACTGGTAGAGCTGAAAAATAGAAGTCAGGTGTCTAGACCTATATCCCCGCTCACAAAAACTAATCTCCTTTCCCAGCTAGTCAAATATATAAGTAAAAACAAAAAAGTTACTCTACCTTGATCATTCAGAGCTTGAGTGGGATCTTTCAAAAGGGCTGCATATTTGTGTAAAATGTTTACCATCACCTCCAGAAGTCCCACTTCCCTAAAGACGTCCTTAAAGATGTAGTCATGACGGGTGAACTTAAGAAGAGTCTTCATTGCAACGATGCTACACTGATACAATGTGCTGGATTTTAAGAGAATGCTGACACTAATCAGTTCTTTACAAGGTATGTAATTCAAGCTAAAGATGACAAACTCCAGCATCTCAAAGTATTTGGTCTGCACTTCTGGAATCTTGGAAATTTTCTCTGCAAACTGGGACAAAGTATGCTGGGATTCCAAGATGAAGTAGTTTGCGCTGTCCGCCATATAAATATTTGTGATGGCATCAAGGATGATTTGTGCAAGATAGCTAGTTTTTGCTTTCAAAAATGCATTCTGGAGGACGGAGAAGGCTTGAATATTTCTCACACTGTGACCTAAAATGGCAGGGAGGGGAAGGAGATCAAACAGTTTAAGTTTATTAAGGAACACATATGAACGAACATATGTTCTCTGTAATAAAATAAGTACAAAGAGAAATTGTAGTAAAGAGATTTTTTGCAAAAGCAAAAGCACAGAAAACTGATACAAGAAGCTCCTCTCTGAACTCAATTATTAATGGAAATTGCTCATATTTATTGATATTTAAGCGATCACCTCTTTGACAATAACTGCAAATGAATTCAGTGGTATTAAAATTGAAATAAACATTAAGTAAACTTGAAAAAAAAAATCAAAATATAGAATTCAAATTGAAACTAAAATCTGAATAAACAGGCTATGGCTCAGACTATTCCTCCTTTTTTTTTTAAAGTCCAATTGCTACATTTGGTTCATAATGGGTAACAAGTTCAGTATACTACGCTGCATCCATTACCTACAGCATTTCACATGCTGCAGGCATACTTAGTTTAAAGTGATAAGCAACACTTCTTTCTTTCTTCTCAATAATACCTCGAAACACAACGAAAAATGCTGACCAAAACAAAAGATCCGACCCAGTTAAAAGCTAATACATATAGCTTTCTTCATCTCTCACCTGTTTGGAAGTCACACACGGAGAAAAAGGGTTAGCACAACAAATCATGGTCTTCCTTTTGTTAGGATCTTGTTCTTGCTTAGTTCCAGAATATAACTGCATTGGGCAGGAGTTATTTTAGTACAGGTTTCCCTCACCAACCATGGTTTTGCCAACCACAGTTTTGCATATCCACACTTAATATTCTATATACCATTTTGGCTACCACGGTATGCAGTTTTGAGTAACCACAGTTTTCCGTGGCCATGCATCAGCCCACCACCTGTCATTTTTCCCATAAGCCTTTTGTCTTGCCAACCATGGGAACTTTCAGGAACCTAACCCCAGCAGTTGGCAAGAGAAACCTGTATATATCTCTGTGTGGCGGCGAGGTGCCCCCACAGGCTCTCAAGGGGGAGAGAAGAGAGCCCGCGGACCCCAGACCCTGGGAGCAAGCCCCCAGAGGGGCGTACGTACCTCCTGGAGAGCAGCAGGAGCAGAAGCCGCGCTCGCAGCTGCAGCCGTGCGAACCGGCATTACGCTGGCTGTGGCATCAGCTGTTCCCGGCGAGGGGAACAGCTGAGCCAATCCCAGCGGCCATATCGGCCGCTGCAGGAAGATTTAAAAACCCTGCCGGAGTGGAGACAGGGAGAGAGCCGGAGAGAGTGAGCACGCGCTGGCAGCTCGTGAGGTGAGCTCCGGCATGGGGAGGAAGCAACCCAGCCTGCGAGGCTCTAGCAGGCAGCCCAAGGAAGGGCTTTAAGCCTCCTGCGGGAGGCAAAGCAGGAGGCAGACAAGGAGAGCAGGCAGAGGCACTCTTGCACACACCTGAAGGAGCTTGCACTCAGGGGGCAAGGGAGCGCCCTGCTTGTGGTAAGGGAGAGGAAACAGCTGAGAATCCGGGAGGGAGCTGGAATAAGGGGGATAACCCTGCAGCTCCTCCTGACCCGGAGGAATATTTTCTATTAAAAAAAAGGAACGCTCCCTCCAGAAGGGAGGGAGAACGACCGGAACCCTGGAACCAGTCTGAGGCCGTCATACGAGGCCAGGAAACATTTGTAACGCATCATCCAACGGCTGGCGGGTGGACGGGGGGTAGGGGAGGCGAAGCCCCGTGGAACACCGTGTCGAATGACCGTGAGTACCACCGTCTATCGGGAAACCCCATCCACGCTAAGATCTCCACTGTAGACCCCTCTTAAAGTGCGTTTAACATCCAAGTCGTGGCAGGTGAGTTGAAGGGAGGGGCAGACCCCGAGAGACTAGGCGGCGAGAGGGGCACGAGCCTCACACTCTACCTGGAATGACATGTGGCCTTGGGCAGGCCTGCCAATAGGCCAATATATGCAAGTAGCAAAATACTAGAGGACTACTCAATTAAACAGAATCATTCTGGCCTGAACTGGAAACCAGCATATTGCTTCTGGGTTCCTAGTTCACATAACTAAAACACTCCAGTGAAATCAACTGTTTGTAAACATTTAAGAAAGCTCATCAATTTAGTCCAGAGCATAACATATATTGGCTATCAACCATCTAAAACCTATACAAGTGCCCAAGAGAGACTAAAGCAATTTAGGCTACATACAGGGGTTATGATTCTACCAGAACTGCCACTCTCCCAGTAGAAACAAGTAAACAAGTGTTCATTATTTTTTCCTGGAGGAAAAAATGACCCCTCCAGGAGAAAAATCTTCCAAGTGGCAATCTGAAAGATCTCCCTTGAGAGAGAAACTCTCACAAGAATGAACGCTTGTATGCCCCGCTCCTGGTCTGGTCTGGAAGAGGAGTAGAGCAGTGGGGCAATGCTTCTCATGATCCCCCAAATCAGGGGTTGTCTGGTCCAGGGAATGGGCTGAACGCCTATACTGTTCCCACTCCCAGATGGTTTCTAGCAGTAGAAATTTCTCAAATATTTTTATTACTGAAAATCAACAGGTATTCAAGATCTTGATCACTTGCATGCAGGTTTTTATGAAGAGATACATAATATGAAATTGCTCCTAATCTGATAGGTGCGGCTTTTTAATTTCAGGTCTGAGACCAAATCCAAGAGTGGAGAACTTATTTAAGACAACTCTGGAAGGACTTCTTAAAAACCTCTTCTAGAAACAAAAGCAAAAGCCTAGAACCCAGCCTGCATTATAAACAGCACTACTTTAAAAATGTTCTAATAACATTTAATTTTCTAATACTAACCAAAACCAAATTTTTAATGACCCATATTTTCTTTTCAGATTTAAACAGAGTAACCAAGATTTATTTTGTATGCACCCAAGAACACCATCTTCATTTATTATGCATCCTAAATTGCTCAATGTTAACAAAAAATACAATTATCTAAATGCCGCATTTCATTCCTTTCTATTTTAATATTTATTTTGATGTTGAAACAAAACCTTCTGAAACATAAATTGCAACAATTACATAATTAATACATCTATTTTCAGTCACACATTCATTTAATTATTTCTTAATGACTAGTTTGCATTTTTGTTTTAAAAATTACTTATCAAAAAGCGACTCTGCAGCTCATGAAACATGCTAGACAGACTGACAGCTACAGAGAAAAATATCTGCATGTGATTAAAGCATAAACAGAGCACAAGACCCAGACATACTAGCTTTCTCTATAGCAGTAGTTCTGAACCTTTTTAGACTCAAGGCACCCCTCCATAACTTGTGAATTGAGCAGCTCTCCACTTCAAAACCTAACTTTATGTATTTCAGTTTCACAGTGCTTAGGGTCAGAAGGGACCTAAACAGATCATTAGGTCCAACCCCCTGCCCCGGGCAGGAATGAGTACGGGGTCATAACACCCCAGTCAAATATCTGTCCAGCCCCTGTTATGTCACCCAATATCCTTCTCAGGAGTTTCCATGTGAACAGAGCATTTCTTGGCACCATGGTCCCACAAGGGACCCACGGTCCCGCTAGGGGGAATGCCTTACTGGACCTGGTATTGGCAACGGGGGATGATATGGTAGGGGACCTACAGATTGGTAGTCACCTGGGGGACAGTGATCACCAAATAATAGAATTCATCATAAGACGTCAAGTGGGAAAGGTAACTAGTAGGGTGAAAGTGCTAGACTTTAGGAAAGCTGATTTCAATGAACTCAGGCGATAAGTCAAGGACGCACTGCAGAGTAGGAGTTTTGAAGAGATGGGAGCCCAGGAAGGGTGGCTGTGCCTTAAAGAAATGATCCTTTGGGCACAGGGGGAGATGATCCCAATGCGAGGAAAAAGAGGGAAAGGGGCCAGGAAGCTTCCTTGGCTGACCAGAGAAATCCAGGGCAGCCTGAGGACTAAAAGGGGAGCATATAAAAAGTGGAAACGGGGAGAGATTACCAAAGAGGAGTATACCTTCTCTGCTCGTGCTTGTAGGGATGCAGTTAGACGGGCCAAAGCTACCATGGAGCTGAGGATGGCATCCCAAGTAAAAGATAACAAAAATTTGTTTTTTAGATATATA